TAATTTTGACTCTTTAGCATGATTCATTCAATAAGAGGCATGGTAGAGTAGGGTGACAAAAAGTGAGTGGTAAATGCACTGAGTAGGGCCCGATCAAAGAAACTCCATTACAATAAGACCAAAGTTTGGTTCATTTCTTGCTATTGGATTACGACCGCTACCCAGCGATGTTTGTGACTCAATGAAGGGTCATGGTTCTTTTTGTCTCTATATCCTTTCGAATTCTCAACTAACGGCATATCCTTAGAGTAGAAAAGATCCATTGATGACAGCATTATAGTGGTGTTATTGTCGGTCGACAACATTCCCGATGTGGGTGTGAGTCAAGGCTTCGGTTGCCTATTTGATTGCCTATCAGTACAATTTTAAATGGGTGACTACATATTTGACAGAAAGAGAGTTTTTCAATCAAGAAGTTGGCACCGGCGCCCACCAAAAACCAACTGCTCTGCCTTGTTGATCCTGTGTCAAATTTCGTGTACACAAAAACACTATTTGTTTCGATTAATGACAGTAGAGTTGGTCGATCATTACAATCACATCGGAAAGGGATGGGCGCCGGCGTCAGCCCGGCGATCCAACGGGCATATAAGCTGTTATGTTAAGAAGGAGAGGGCAAATGGGGTCTCGAAAGTGGAAGGGGTAAAGGGGGTCGAAAAGTCGAGGTCGAAGTTTTGCCCTTAAGTCGGCAACCTTGTGAGACCTTCGAATCGCGTACTACGGGGAGATGACAGCCGTTAACAGAAGAAGTCAAAAAAACTATATTGAAATATCTTGCAGCTTGACGGTTTAATGTCGATTGTGTTGACCAACGTATCACATCGTATGGGTGAATGCTAACAAGCCATGGGTAAAAGTCATAAGTACTCATGGAGAAATTGGATTTGGTAGTGTGAACTTAAAGAGTACGGTGCTCTAACGCACAAGTACGGGTTTGAGTTCCGTCGGAGAGCGAAGTTTTGCCCTTAACTTGTCATGCTTATGGGACAAGTTCTCTTTTCCACGTGGCCTACGGTAGATGATTAAGCAGCTGAGAGCACAGAATGTTCGCTTTCCGAAAACGATACGATTCTAAAAGAATAAAGAGTAATCAGATTATTCTGAATAATCTTCTAACTAGTGAAAAAGCATGTTTACAAGGTCGGTCATCCCCAATATACGTATTTCGATGATGGAGGTCCAGCCTAAGTCTGAGAGATCTATGATCTAACAAGTCGAAGCCCTTGTCTATTACAATGGCTGCTTTCATAGTCCGCCGGCCGGCCGAACAAACAAACAGGAGGGAGGCAGACGGATAGGCAAACAGTCCACGCCCCTTCGAGGGGTTGAAAACAAACAACCTTCGAAGGGGCGTGGACTGTTTGCCTTACACTGTCTGCCTCCCTCTTCCCCCCTTGCGCTGCCTCCGCCGGCACGCCGGCCGGCCGGCCGGCACGCGCGCCGGCACGCCGGCCGGCGGACTATGAAAGCAGCCAATGTTGCATTCGTGCCACCAACGTCACTTTTTTTGATGAAGAATCGATGAGTCAATGGAGTTCTCGGGAAACCATTTTCATAGATCGATTGATTCCTTTCTTTCAGCTTGCTGGCTGCATGTTCGATCAAGTATTGTCAAACATTGAAGGTGGAAACGCGATGTGAGTAATGAAATTATGGAATACAGAAAATGAACGTACAAAATTCGCTCTTCAGTGTGGCACTTGTCCCGGGGTGGGCGACTTCAATCAATCTTTTACGATAGCTCCGAAATTTCAACCCTAAAGTGACTTGTCCGTGGGTCCAGATGAGACAGGCAATTGGAGCAATTTGGAACCCAAAAGAACGTATCTAATCCATCCAGAATGACTAGCATTCAATCAATACCATTGTTTGAAATTGTTGTTTAGCCCAGAGGGAATTTGAAATATTCAAATCGAAGGGGCACTTTCCCTTTGAAATCTAGCTCACTCCTTTCCGCTTTTCCTGCACCCATGTAGCATGTTTCAGTAGAGCGTATCGATCTGCTCGAAATTTTTCTGTCGTATTATTCCGGCTCAAATAATGTAGCTGCTCCACACCTAATTGTAGAAAGGTAATTGCAACGATTGAAGTAGGCGAGTACATTTTATCAAAGATCGGTTTCCGCAGTAGGCCTACCTCACCCGTTCTCTGACGGTCCTGTGGTGTTTCCCTTTCCACTTGGTGACGATGATGGGCTAAGTATAATGACAAAAATGAGCTAAGTGTAATGAAGTCACGGTTCTTTTTTGAAAGAATGGATAACATGCATTTATTTGGATAACAACAGAGCTGGGTTAGTGTCGAAGGGTGTGCGATCATGGTCCGATTATCGAATGAGGAGTCATAATCCTCCATGCCAATCAACCCTTCCGTACCTCCAGAGGCAGTTTATTGCACACAAACTTTTGGTAGGATAAAAACACTGACTAGTATGTTGTCTGGTCCCCGCGAATCGTTGCATGGGTCACATCACATTCAAATGCTATGCGATTGCGAAGGCAAGGTGAGTGCGTGGTACATCCTGAACAAGAGGATGAGCAACGTCAAAGAACTTCTCCTTTTATTTCTATTCA